TGTGTGTGTGTGTGTGTGTGTGTGTGTGTGTGTGTGTGTGTGTGTGTACGTTCCTCGAATTTTCTTGTACGACAGGAATTTGAAAAAATTTCATTCTAGAGGAACCAGCTATTTAGGCTTTTGTCTGCTTCCAAACGGATCCGAATGTTTCCAAATTGTTCCTCTTTTCACGACTATCAGATATATTTATTTCTTTTTCTTCGACTAAAAGTGGTTGCAGATTAATTGCCTCAGTGATAAGGACAAAATTTATCCACCTGCAGGACCCGTCGGTAATTGATCTGAAATCTCTATCAAAACTTAGCAACAAGCAATTAACGTTATCGTGCGATCTCGATTTTTGAAGGAATATTTGTAAACAAGTCTGGAAAATTCCTTTTTTGCTTTTTTTTTATTTCTTTATTTAACTTTAAAACGAGTGGGGAATTTTCGTTTTACACATTTTCCTTTTGCCAATTGAACGACGGTGTGGTATTTGCGTTTGTAAAAATGATTCTGCAAGTTTGGCATAAATTTTTTGTTTTTCTTACGGCACGAAAGATATGCGCGAATAAATGCAAAAGAAAGTTGCTCTTTCGCTTCCGTAACTGTTAGACACAGAGAAGGGAGAAATCGCGCTGAGTCTTTGTTTGCTTGTAACTCGATTCTTCACGAGAAAGCTGCTGTATGAGAAACGCGATCTTTGTCATACGTGTGTACAGAGTGGAAACAAAAGTATATCCGTGACTATAATCGATGAATACCACGCTTTCAGTATGATGAAACTACATGTAAAGAACATACTGCAAAATTGAATTTCAAGATCGATTATACTACCTTATTTTTGATTCTACTCATTACGAATGTAAAACCATAGACAAGGAAGGTTCTTAATCATTCAACACTACGGACGCGTGCGTTCTAGCAGGGATTCTATGATGCGTGGACGTAAAGATTATATTTCGAATAACGTGAACGGATAGGTTTATCATTTGATTGTTTAGACTCACACTGATGACAACAACGATAAATCAAATTTTAGCGAAACTTTATACGAAAATTATGAAAATAGACATCTACGTACCCAGGACCATAAAGACGCTTTTAGGACGCGTTAAGTGATTAAGAAACCTTTCGCCATTTTCGAAGAGAACTATTATTATTTGCGATTTATGGCTACTTGTGGACAAAAATAGAGATCTAATTGTCATCAAAGTCAGATAATCCGGCATTCGTCAGATCCAGCAGGTACCGACATTCCCTTATTCCCGAAAATGGAATTGATTCATAAAAGGGACTTATAGTGAAGCGGTAAAAAGGATAAAGGAGGCAGTGATCGAGCAATTAAACACGATGGCTCAAGAGGCCATTCTACCTGGCCTTTCAAAACTCGAGCATATCGCGTGTGGAAAAACTGAAACATAAAAAAATTCTTTATCCATGGAACTGTCTAATTTTTCTAATTTCTAAATTTTTAATTTACTGCTTCTATTTCATTATTTCGTTGCTTCTTCCCTTTACACTAAAGTTCACCGTACAAAGAATAATTCACGCTACAGTGTAGAATGAAATTTACGTTTGCAATGAAAAAACAAAATTTACGTTTTCAAAGAAAAAACGAACATTCCAAATAAATAAATCACGTTTGTATAGCGTAGCCAGCGATGTAGCGAAATTTGATCGAAATCCAATGTTTGGTCAACACGAGATAATTAGACCGTACGTGTACCTCGTAGAAAATTCGATAGTCGTTGTGGCAGGGCGAATCTATCAATAAGATATTTGCCTATCCGGCACGATCGATCCCGGAAACAAAAGCGGATCATTCCTTCGTCTATGGAATGTTCGTTTTTTTATCTTTTGCAACCGTGTAGATTTCCATTCGGTTCTTTTGAACGAGCCAATGTGATGAGAAAGAAACGATGGCCCGCCCTCGAAACAATTTGAATACTAGACTTTGTTCACGCATTCCACTTTCGCATGGCGTTTCGGCCAAATTTTCAGATTTGAATATCGAAAAAAACTGATCTGTGGAGATTTCAAGGTTGTATCGTTGAATCGATGAAATACGAAATTTGTTTCTCAAGTCTGACTGATTGATTAATCAGCGTTTGAATGGAACGTGCGATTTATTCTGATCAAATTCCGCAACGCTGGACGCGTTCGGGATAAAATTGAACACAGCTGTGAAGAAAATGAAAGCGCAAAGAAAGTATTGTCACGATTGTCAGTTGAAAAGCTCTATTCTTACTTTGTTTCTACAACGAGCATATAGATGTCGATAAATGTTAAAACCAAATATTCGAATTATTCTTTCTCGTTTCGATGACGCAAAAAAACGAAAGTTCCTTCTTTCTGTATCGTTCCAGCGCGTTTTCGTTTCGTTTCAAAAAAGCGCAAAAGTAAAGCATCACGTACGAACGCAGTACACTTCGAACTGAAGCGAAATTATTCCTTTTTATCGGCATTTCAGATATCATCTGATATTTTCATTCTCACACACAAAGAAACATTCAGACCTCTTGGCCTTGACTTGGGAACGGGAAATAAACTCAGTGGTTCTCGATTTTCAGCCTCTTGCTTGGAGATGCACCTTCTCTGAATCCAGAATCGATCGACAGATTTATTCCGAGTTTGGATTGATACGTATCGACTCGACGGCCATTCCGTAATCAAAATTCGCAGTCGCGGATCGGTGAAAACACCGTTTCCTCGATGGAATCCTTTATCGTTGAAACGGCGAAAAATTCCGGTGGATTAACGGAGCAGAGAGCGAGAGAGGAAGTCGGTCGACCTGTTGCGCGTATAAATTGACGTTAAAGCGCTCGTAGTTGCGACAGAATGTTGTTATTTTATTGTCCTGATGGGCAAGATGAGAAATAGATACGAAAAAGGGAAAAAAGGAGCGGATGGTTTGCCGATGATTTCATTTCAGAGGGAAAAGGCTGGTGCAGTTCGAGTTTTGTCAAGCCGGGGACAATTTAATGTAACGCGAACGTTCCCGTGGGAATTCAAGAGTTTCAAACGCGATTTCGTCGGCGAGATTTTTCCGTTAGATTTTCCCCTGTCGACTTCAATCTCGCGTTGACGCGTAGTCTCTTGGAAAGGTACCAGCCAATCTCCGTTTGATCGAGCCGGCATATTTGACGATTCCCTCCAAATTTTGCGTTTAAAGTTTGCCTTAACCTGCGACTAGATCTGCACTCTCTGCGCTCGAAATCTCGGACAGTCTCTCTCGTTCGTGGTTATCAATGACTAGTTGTCCGACAAAGCATTGTCAAATGGAGCATCAGGATCGCGATTCGACAAACGGAAAAGTGTAATTGTTTCTTAGCGAGAGTCTGTTTCTCAACTCAACGATCGTTAAATGAATTGAATATTAACATTTTATCTATGAATGACGCAATTTCGTGTTATACGAATTTTGTGAGCCATATTTCACCTCATTTGCAGTTAAGACAATTGTGTACGCAGAAGCAACAAAATAAGCCTAATATTTATTATTGTCACTTAAAAAAATTAAAGATATGCCGTCAAAAAGAAATGTGGAATATAATTTAAGAAAGTTTATACTGGGAAACATTTACGAAAGATTTGGAAACTAACGGAAAAATAGTCTCGAGGGGCTGCCGAGAATTAGTCAATTCGTTGCATTTTTAATATCACTGCAAGGGTCGGTGTATTATCGCTTTATTCGGGTGTTTTCCCGAACTACTAACCAGGTAAAGATGGAAAGCGGGGAAAAAGATTGAAACGATTCCAAAGCAAGAATCGCTCTTTCGACGATATAACGGTGCTCTTTAATTTTTAAGTTAGCCGTTGTTTCTTTATTCGAACATAGTCCTTCAATAGAAGTTAATATGTTCGAGGTTGATCTTTCATATTATCGAAACTCGAATCCGTAACACAGTAAGCAACGAGACGTTATATCTCTGTTATTCCCTTGAACATTTATCAGCAATTGAAAAGTAAAATCTAAGAAGAGGTAAATATTCCATTCGAATGAGGGATTACAATGTAATTTTAAAAT